CATGACTGCTGAAGTAAGGATCTACACGTCTCTACATTTGAAGCATTGCAGGCTTCCCAACGTTTCAAAGCATATTTAATATAGCAGTGTAGATGTATGGCTCTTGTCCTGGTAACTTACATTGGAAGAAGAAATTTTGCCACTGAACAAATAAAAAAGCTCCAGTCCTTCAGCAAATATTGATCTTAGAAACAGTTAAAAAGAACCCTGTAGTCTCATGGATTCCAGAGTTTTGGAATACCACAGACCATGACTGTGGAAGCAAAGATCTACATATTTCTGCTCTTGAAGTGTTCCAGTCTTCTGAGGAATATCACAAGACATATTTAATATGGTAGTGCAGATGTACTGATCTTGTCCTGGTATGATGGCAAAATAAATTTTGCCACTGGACAAATAAAATAAACTTAACCTCCGCCCTGCCCCCAGAAAATCCCAAACCCCAAGCCAGAACAACCCACACTCAATTTTTATCTCATCCAAATTACAGTTTATTTGTTAGCACTTGATGTAATTTGAAGATAGTCACAAGGAACTTTTGGATTCTAACCCCCCAAAAAAACCCCTTTCCAGTAAATAAGCTTGTGTGTATAGACATGTATATAAAATACTTATATGTGTTCATATGTATAATATTATAAATATAATTTATATGTAAAATTAAGGAATGTAGTTATTAATAGATGTGTGTAACTATTTCAATGCATTTAATGTTTTGGAGGACCTGCTTCTATAATTAGTGGATTCTGTGATTGCAACAAGCCTCGAGATGTTTTTTTTAAATTTTGAAGGAGGTATGTATGTAGTCTAGATGTTATGCTCTTTTATGTATTTGTGCAGTAGAATGTTCTGACCTAATAGAGTGTTACTGTTTAGAAAAATTGTCCAGTATTTTCTTCATGTATTGAGAATCATTATTGTGATTATATGCAGTAAAATCTGTTGTGTAATTAAAAGTAAATAGAACAAACCCCAATTATTTTCTTAATGATTTGTTTAAGTTCTTGTATTTGACTGCTTCTCATCTTTCTGATGATTATAGGCTCTTACAGTTACTGATGTAGCCATTTACATACTTGAACAAAGTTTTTGTTTGGTAATGTTTAGACATTTTCTTTAGTTTGTGTGTTTTGCTATATAATCTTTAAGTCCAGGTCTTTATTCAGGGTCACACTTAAACATGCATGCTAAGTCATTAAGTGTGCATGAAAGCCAATATTTATCTTTGACGTTGGTGGTACTTAAATATTTCTTGATGCTTGTCCAGGATGCATAGTTTTGATTTGACTTTTTATATGGTTAGTATTACCGTTATTTATTTAAAGGCCAGTGTAGCTGACTGAAGTGAGGAAAACTTGGCTCAAACACAAAATAGTGTAGAACCACCTCTGTTGCAGTGGTGCCTATGTATGTGGAACAGGACATAGGCACGGTAGAGGAATACTCTTTTGGGGGAAAGAAGTGCCTTTAAAATAATGTAAAGATTTCTGTAGTACTGTTTGTAACCTGGCTATGAAAACTATTGCTTTCAAAGACAATTGAACAGACAGTATCAAGAAGGATAGTAAATTATCAACTCTTTAAAATAATTTCAGACATTATGTAAAGCCATGTAAGTAGTTGCTGATTACTTAATCTCTGCTGAGTCCAAAAGAGCAAAATAAATCTTTTTCTCTGTCAAAGGCTTTAATGCAAAAGCTAGCGGTAATTCAGAAAGATTTTAAATAATTCTTATCTTATGGAAAAAAAAATACTGTTTTTACTCATGGCTTTCTTTTGAAGCTGCTATTCTAATCGTGTATGTTTATCAGTCTATAGTTATTATTCAGGACTAAATCCATGGTTAACCCGGTAAATCTCTCAGTAATAATTACATTTCATAGTTATTATGGTAATTCACAAATACTATTGTAAAATTCCCCAAATAATCAAATCCAGAAACATTTTGTTAGACAAGTTCTACAGAGACTCCATGAAATTCTCTGTATTTACATACTTCCATCACTGCAAGCAGTGTATTCAGATTTAGATAGCCGACTTGTAAAAGTCTGAAGCTTCAATGTTTTAACTGTATTTTTGTAGATATCAAATGATAACATCCTTCTGTCCTTCTGAAATGTAAGCCACTTCTTCAGGAGTTTGCCAATAGACACCCAAGTTCTTTTTCTGTGTAAAGAGATAAAATACACATCACCAAATAATAAAATCTATGTTGTATAGACTTACAAAGTTACAGTGGTGGCACTGTGAAGATATTTTCTGTCTGTAATTTGTGGGGTTTTTTCCTGGGCTTTTGCCCTTTCTTGCAGCAGTTTTATGAATTTTACTAATTTTTTCATGTAAGACCCGTGGAAACTGGAAAGTGTTCACTAAGAAAGTATATGGCTGTGTTATGAATAAATTCACGTGGAAAGAATTGATGGATTTGTCATTTTGAGAAATAAATTTTTCTGTCTACTGTTTTAGAAGTGTGAACATTAAGCCAAATCAATATTAGTAGGCTAATTCATACATAACAAACGCATGGCAGATCTGGAGAATTTGTACTGAGAACAGGGTAACTACCCTTGTTTAAAATTCACTGATTAAGAGAGGTGCATGCTAAAGATAAAAAGCTAAGATACTTGACCAGTAAAGCAGAAATGTGTGCAAGAAACAGACAAAAGACAAGTATGTATCTTTGGTAGATGTGTGAATGTTTATATTTAATGTCTTCCTATTTTATTAAATATTTATTTTTGATGACAAAATTCTGCTTTAGCCTGTTTGGACCACAGATGCTTTTTCTTTATTTTAATTAGGTATTTGGAATACAGAGACTACTGCTGAATGAGACACCGGAGTCTTTACAACTGAACATATATATTTGATATCTGAAACAGTCTTAGTGTTCCTTCTTAGGTGCCAAACAGGAGATGTGACACAGGTTGAACCTCAAGAACAGAAGCTTCTTAAAAGGGCAGTTCTGACTAGTCCTCATCTGATGAGGACGAACTTTTTACCTTCAGAAAATGAATCTTTTAGCTGCTTTTCTAGAAATCTGCAGCCAAATGGATAACAGAAAAATGGTTTTATCTCTATAAAAGGCCTTCCACAAACATACCTGAAAAAACAGTGACACACCACCCCCTCCCCACCCCCCCACAACCGCACAAAAAACCAAAACCCAAACTGCTGAAAAATATCCCTACTAACCAACAACAAAAAAAGCACCCACACACAACGTGTTGTGCATAATAGAAGCAAGCTGTAGACTTTGAAAGAAGTAGTTTGTGCTTACGTCTTCCCTATTTGAGGGAAATGGCAGTGCTGTGAAGAACCATGAGTTTGATAAAGTTAAAGGACTTTGTGTTTGCTTTCCAGGGGATATTGTGTGTGAGAGGGATGGGGGTGTTCATTTTGTTATGAAAACTGTTTCACGGGGGAGATATCTGCTACACAGAACAGTTCTGTTTTAGTCTGAGACTTAGCATACTAGCTTTCTTTTCACTACAGTCTGTCAGTTGAGATTCTCTGCTTTTCTTTGGCGTCACCCAGTTCATCATCCAAAGCTGTGCTTTTAGCTGTCTTGGCATTTGAGAACTTTTTCCAGCTCTGCCACAAGGCCTCTCTGGCTAAAAGAATTCTTGCTGTTATTTCCTAATACAAAATTGATGTGAAAACACTGTTACTTGTTATTTTAATCTTGAGGCTAAGCAACATCTATACAAACAACAAAGTAACTTTTGATTTTTGGCAAACTTGATTTTTTGTTTTGCATTGGGTAATTTCAGGGACTTCCTGCTATGTTTCTAAGTAATAAATCTTTGAGAAAACCCTAGTCTTATTCTTTATTCAGAGAGGTGAGCTTTTATAGCTCAGCATTTTTTTCAAATATACATATAAATATATAGAGTAGGAATAGATCATTATAGTTTTGCGTATTGTAGGTTTATATAGTCTAGTTACCGACTTCCTGTATCTCCCAACAGGTGAACATTTAACACCTATGTCGAACAGCGGAGCTGACTTACTACTTTGCTGTTTTGATATTAAGTGCAACAGATTTGGAGAATTGGTTCCCAGTATTTTGGATTGTCATATTTCTGGCATCCCTTTTCAACTGATTTGCGGAGGCTGTTTCTTTCAGTGTAGCCTAACTACTACTTCTGTCCTCATGCTTTGCATAATTTCTTGTGTCTGTTTAAGTGGTATGGAAGCAATTAGCTTATTACTTTGGGGAACTTCCTGAATAATGAGTAAGGCAATACAGTATCTGAAGGGATGGGTTATGACAGAAATTCATTTGACCCGTATGAGAACACCAGTGGAATTCTCTCTGTTGCTCAGGTTAATTGTTTGACCATTGGATTTAGATGGAAGATTTTACATTAGTATGATTTGTCAGATGTCTGTGAGCAGAGAATTGGAATGTGAGCTTGCAGTCCCAGGAAACAAAGTGGCATTTAGGCACTTCTCTGTCAAATGAGTCCATGCAGCATTTTTTTGTGTTAGTTTACTGTTACTGCTATCTTTTTAAGTGGGAATCTATCAAATGTCAGGAGCTTTGGCTGTGCTCCCCACAAAATACTGTGTATACACCTGTGTTACTTTGGAAAGCTCAGGAAAAATAACTGTTACAATATAATTTCTCCTTTGAAGATGGTAGAATTTAACTGGCTGAATATTTTACATTTCAGATAGAGAACTAATTATTATTAAATGAATTTACTTGCTGTTTCTGGTTTAGTAGCTGTTTCTTTTACAATGCTGTTTTACAATCAGCAGCAATTTAATCTCTGATTAACACACATACTGGCATCCACATAATTACTGGAACAAAGCAATAGTTTTGCACTCTTCATATTCATGGGCTGATTGCACTGTCATTAAGAAAATTTCTGTTTTAATAGATGTTGATCACTGAGGGTTTTTTTTAGGAATGAATTAATGTTTCTTTTTTTATGTAGTATACAAAAAAATATTGGATAACCTATAACAAGCAACTTTGCTTTTTCTTCCCAGGTATGAATGCTGCTGTGCGCGCAGTAGTACGCATGGGAATCTATGTAAAAGCCAAAGTGTATTTTGTTTATGAGGTTAGTGTTTGTTTTATTCCTTCTGTATTTGTCCTCTGACTATACTTGAGTTTTTGTGGAAACCTCATGGTGAGTGAATGGTATAAATTAAAAAACGTTGTAGATGTCATTCCCTTTCATCATATCAAGGGTTTTTTTGTGTGTGTGTGTAAAGTATTTTTTACAAGGTATATGCTAAAACTATTTAATTTTTTTTTTTTTTTCATTGTATGCAATTCTTCATGTGCCACTAGCCATCAGAAGCTTGAAAATACTGAGAAAACCAGAGATGGTTGTCACCCAGCTATGAGCTCTGTAGTTTTGTACATGTTAGATGTTTGGCCCCAAATATTGTACTTTAACTAGGTTTAGAAAGGTATTTATAAACTACTGATTATTAAACCTTTGACTTTTCCCCATTCCCTTTTCCTAGTGTATGATAAGAATATGATATCGTCCTCATTTCACAGATTACACAACTTGTTTTTTGATGAAGAATGCTGTCAAGCTGGTGCCATTGTTCCTGGCTTTATAAGTAGAAAGCTGTTACTGAAAAAGTTCCAACCAACAAATAAAAAAGACTCCACTAAAAAACCTGCACCATCACTAGCATGTCCAAACATCAGAATTTTGTGGTTGAAGCTTATGACTTCATATGCATGGAGATTTTAACTTTTAACAGTTTTAACTTCTGTAACAATTATTTGATATGAAAAAATGATGAGACAAGTTTAATGCAAGTGTTACTGAAAGACTAAGCTATAGTTAGACTTCCACCTGAAGGACACTTTCAGTTTTTATAAATTTGCAGTTTAAAGAAAGAACAGTGAATATATTTATCAAGAAGTCATTCTGTTCATACTGGAATTGCTGTACAACTCCTTAGATATTTGAAGTGATTACAAATCATAATAAACTTTCGATATAAGGCAAAATTTAGTAGGCAATATTCCTAGCAAAATCTAATTTTAGTGTTTAAAAATACGGAGTACTAGAATTCATAGATTGGAAAGTACTTTGGTTTTAGTTTTGTGCATGTAAAATATACAATTCAGCTTTAAAAGGTAGATATTTATCCATTTTCTTTCCTATAGTTCATTTACTAAAGAGATGCAAAGTATATTGAAATGCAAATAAGCAGAGCACTGTGCTCCAGAATTCTTTCATACTACAGCATTATAGCAAGCAGCTCTGAATACTTAGTGTGTGCTAATTACATGGCCAATCTCTAGAATTCCTTTAGTGTTCAGCTGGTTTGTGGGCTTGCTGAAATGGGTCAGATACTTTTGTGGAAATCAGGAGGGTTTTTTGGCTGTCTTTAAAAGCCAGAACTTGGATTGATTTTTGTTTGTTTTGTTTGGGTTTTTTTTTTTTAAATCTTCTGTTTAACTTAAGAATTACCATTTTTGTAGTTCATTTTACAGTGTGTTTACTTCTGTCACCTTTTAAAAACTAAATTTCCAGAGAAATTTGGATATTTTTTTTTTTCTGAATTTAGCAAAATTGCTGTATTTGAGTTATGTTCCTCAGTTAATTGCCAGAGTTTGCCAATGTGAAATCACAAATATTTCTGAATGAAAATCAACTGTAAATATCAAGTCAATGTTCGAGTTTCCATTATATACTGTCATTCTATTTTCATTGTAACAGCGTAGTCTGGGAGAAATATACACATTTCACTGTAAGTATGGGTAATATTTCTGAAAGAGATCTTCTAGATTAGTCCATTCATTTCTATGTTTCAGGAAATACTGAATGTTGAGCTTTTTTTCCTGACTCCGTGTTAATTAAAATACGAAGTCAGTTTTCTTTCACAATGCATATAAGTACTTCAGAGAAACAACTATTTAATTTCAGCACTTTGAAATAGGAAACAGATTTAGGTGACAAGTGTAGTGGAAGATAAAAATCTTAGGGTAGGATTTGTCATTAGTAATCCCTATTATAGGCCTTTGCACAATGTATACAGAGGAGATGTGTATTTGTATATACTTTACTTGAAGTTCTTTAATACTTTTAATAAGGCCCTTCAAAATTACAGTTTATCAAATGCAGACTTAGTGTTTTAAGCAATGAGAATAGTATGGTTTTAGCCTACATTTTGAGTAGGCATCTTACATAGACACATGTATGTCAAGGTGAAGTGATACTTCTATTGAAGCTGCTCTGAAAAAGTGAAGAAGAAACCTGAAGTGGCAGCATCCACTGATGAAAAATGTTTTCTTATTTGGAGCCAAAAATTGAGGTAAAGGTCTCAGACTTTTTCAAGCCTACTTTGCTATAGTTGTCGTACACTATTTTTCTCCTTTAACTTTCTGTCATAAGAAATTTTTTTACACTGTAAAACTATCTGTCTTGTACAGTCGTGGCCAAAACTAGCTCCATATTATAAATAAAACAATAACTACTTTCCTTTTGTTTCCTAACTCCATTTTGTGTCATTTTGTGATGAGAGATTATCAAGATAAATAAAAATTGACAATGAACTAGATATAAATAATTTTCTAACTTTTTTTAAAGTTGAGTTTACCAAAGCCCAAAGAAACAGCTGTTTGAGTTCATGGGCTGTTTGGACCTACTTTGACTCCCAAAAGGAAAAGAACCCCAAACACCTCATGTAAAAACTAAAACTATAAAATAATTTATATAAAACACTATAATTTATTATATTTATATATAATTTATATAGTTTATATAAAACCTGTAGTTTTATAACTAAAAAAATTTAAAACCCCCTTGTATCTTAATTACTTGAAATGAACACATTTGAAAATTTTGCTATTAATTTATGGAAACAATGCTTACACTATACAGTTGCCCTAGTTCCATATTTTGTTTGTGTTAACATCTTTTAGTATTTCATTTTAGTATATGAACAGTTTGTAGACATCGAGTTATTAACATCACATTATTCCTCAAATCTATCCCATCTGAATTAAAATTTGAATACCCAGTGGACTTATTTCACTCATGCTGTTGAAAATTTAGGAGGAGGAAGTACATGTAAAAGTGTCAGACTGCTCTAGGAAGCTAGTTTACATTTTTCACTATTCAGAAGTGATTTAAGTTGGTTTTGGTTTTTTGTTTTTGTTTTTTTTAATTTTTGATTGAGAAGAAAAAGTGATGCCTCTCATTTATGGCAATTCATTTTAGAAACTGAGGTCTTAAATATTTATACAAATAACCTGCCCTTTTTCCAGGATTGAAGCACATAGTTCCCAGTGGATGCGTGCTCTTACTACTAAGCTATGGAACTTTTTTATTCTACATCTTGATTAAGAGCCTTTTTCTCAAGAGGCCAGCATTGGAAATGCAATGGTACGGCAGTCATGGATTTCTGTGAGGAAAACTTCATGTCTTTTATGTGGTGGTTTGTGCACTCAGTGATGCTAGTATTTTACGTTGTCAAGCAATAGCTAAAAAAGTTCAGTAAGTAAACTTTAACTGTTAAAGCCTCAAATGTCTCACATGTAACATATCAGAAGATGGCTTGTTCTTTTTCAAAAGCTTTTGTTTATAGAGTTAAGGCTTGAAGCAAGGTTTGCCATCTCTGCCAGTCTCTCCAGGAGTTACAGTGTATATGTATGCACCCTGTGAACATATGACACACAGAGATTTCCTCTTGTTCATCACTGAATATTCAGATTTTGCATAGAGGAAGGAATAAGCATAAAATAGTCTTGATCTTCAAGTATAGTGCTTGCTGTATTTTTGACAGTTTACTTTTTTCCATTCTTGCCCCATAGTTTTAGTACCCAAGCTATTTTTAGAATCTAAGTAACATTTAAACAAATGAACAAAAAAACCCACAAAAAAACCCCCAGAAAACAACCAGTAAATTGACAGGTTCCCACCCTCCTTTTATTAAGTCTTTATTCACATCTGCCAGTAATTTTCAGTACCCAGACAATTGTGTGTTGAACTTTTCCACCTTCACAATGGATTGTCTAGTCCCCACGTTAGCATGAGTGTTTAAATAACTAAAATGATAAATAGAAATCATGATCATTATTAATGTTTCAATTATAACTAGTAATATTTTATTTTTTTTATTTTCCCCCTATAGCTTTTCTAGAAAGCTGTTTTAATGCTATACTTTTTGTATCTCTTAATGGTATGGAAGAGCAGCATGGAAATTTTGGCTACATTCTTCAGAGCTAGCTTACATACAGTACTTGCAAGCAGAACTGAGTTAGGAGAAAGTAATGTGGTAGTTAAAACGGATCAGGCCTGTTCCAAAAGCTCCTTGTCCTTACCGTAGTGGGAGGAATTGTTAATATGGCCCCTGTTCTCACTTGTCTACACAGAGAATGTAGAACCAATGTGAACTCCTAAGCCGAATGCATGAGTTTTCTGCTTTAAAGATGGATGGTGCAGGAGTCAGTCATAGCTCATCCTTAGCTATAAGTTGTTTCAAATTTCACAGAGACAGTTTCAAATAGTAGTTTATCCATTTGCTTTTTCCTGTGTTTTAGATTTGTTAATAAAATTGGGAATTTTCATCCATGACTCTCATGGTGTGTATAGAATTATGTATATATTTTACTGTATGTAATACTTGGATGCACTTTCTTTAGTTTTACTCCTAAGTAAAAATGGAAGGTGAATGATTAGAACAAATACATGAACTGTTTATATTTTTGTCAGCTTGTAGTGCAGCTTCCTATAGTCAGTGTTACAAATTGAGTGAAGGTGTAATATCACACTATTATTTCAGGATTTATTGCTTATGAATCTTTGTGCTATTGTACTTGCCGATATGAACACTGACAGAAGAAGCTTTCAGTCCATTACTGAATGATATAAGGAACATCATTTAAAAAAAACAGAACAAAACAAAAACCAAAAAAAAACCCACAACAAGCAAACCAACAAATGTGTGATAAGTGAATTCAGTAATTTACTGGCCTTCATCAACCTCAGTTGGATCCACTGGAATGTTTCTGTCTGAAGATCTTTGCACTTTATCTGAGAAATTTTTAATTTTTTTTTTTTTTTTAAGTTGATGTGTAGATTTGTAGATTTTAGAATTTTTTGTTAGATCTGCAGAGTTAGTTTATATGTAGATTTTTTAGTTGATGTGTAGATTTTTTTTAAAGATACGTACATTAAGCATTATTTCTTTTCCAACTTGCTCTAATTTTGAAGGAATCGTGCAAATAATGTCTTAGCTTCAAGTCATTATGTGTATACATTAGTATACAAGACAACATGTGTATCCATTAGTTACATATCGAAGTCATCTTGAGAGTGGACAAAACATTGAAAGGATCTGTTGAATGACAAAAGTTAGAGACATAGGTTGTTTTCCATCTATCTGTTTCTTTGCCATTACTCAATCATCTTATATGTAAATTTGTTAGTCAAGTCTCACTGAACAGAAGCTTTTATGTTTCCCCTTTGGAATCTGTACTAGAATCATAGAAAGCTTAATTTGGGTAACCTGTACTTTTTCTGAGTCCATGTTATCTTTATATTCTTATTCTGTCATGCTAGTGAGGGACTCCAAGTATAATATAGTATTCATATATGGCTTTTTATGCCAGTGTAGGCTTAGTACATTTCCAAGTTACTGCTTACTGGATGAAAACTCCATACACTCTTGATTGTGACAGTGTCTCCAGTTTATAATGTCAGTTCTGTTTTCTAAACTCCCTTCTATTTCTAGTTCCACTTGTTTTGTTATAGAGAACCCTAAGACTAAATATGTACAGTCTTGCAAGAACTGCATACAGAAGAAAGGCTAATTAATTGTTCCTCAGCATAATTATCCATATCTGCACATAATCTAAAAACAGAGACATAAACATTGTCATGCTTATTTTTGTTTAGTGTTTTTTTATGTTCTTTAACCCATAGTGGTTTTTTCCATTTAGATTTATACCAATGTTAAAAAGTTGAATGGTAACTCCAGTTTTATTCTGGTGTCTGTATCAGTTTTCCAGATTTTCCAGGCTGGTTTTGTTGGGTTTTTTTATTTTTTTAAAATCAGTGTTCACAGTATCACCTAATGGAAAAGACTCTGTAATTGTTACTGTCTTTCTGCTAGTATTTATTCAATTAATAGCACCAGGCATAACAGAACCCTTCATATGTTGACTAGATAGTTTTCCTTCTTTCAGCTGAGTATAATTCTTTCCCTATTAAAGTGTGCATTGGTTTCTGAAGACCATTTGAGTTAAGGTATTGAGGATTTCTTAAATGCATCACTAAAAATTGTATTTTTTTCTACTAAATTTCTTTCATCTATTTATTTCGTAACTGCCTCCAAAAAAGAATGAAGATTATGTAACTTGATTTCTTCCTTGTTTATGAAAAATTTTTGGTTGTTGCTCTTCATTTTGTTATGCCTACCTTGGTGGGGGGGAAAGTGTACAAAGTGTTACAAAGGTAGATTTTTTTTTCAAAGATCATGACCTCAGGCTGAGATTTTGTTTTAAGGAAGCACATTTCATAATGCTTTTCAAAGTTCTTCTGTTTTTATAGTTTCTCAAAAATAACTGAATATTTATTCCTAATAAAGGAGAAATACATTTCCATTTTAGTTTATGAACTGTGTAATATATGTAAAGTATTACTCTACCTTGAAGTTGTATTTGGAACTGATCTTTTAGGAATAGGGTTTGTTTTACTTTTTTTCCCCCTAATGTGATAGCTGCTTGAATGTTGTTGCATTTAAGTTGAGGATTTTTTTTATTCAGTGTGTTTAATTACTTAAAGTTGCATTATGATAATAATAAAATACAAATAAAAAAGGTGAGTATTACTGCAGTGGAAATGTTGCATAATTTTTCAAATCAGACTTCTGAAATACTACTTCTCTTTCAGGGTTATCAGGGAATGGTTGATGGAGGTGATAATATTGTAGAAGTTTCATGGGAAAGTGTTTCAAGTATCCTGCAAGTGGTAAGTGTTAGGGGGTGGCAGTGGGACCCAAACCCTCTCTCTTTAAACAGGGAGCCAGAATTCTAGATCCATACAACCACTGTAATTATGGATTTGAATTATGTGATGACTGAGTGTCCAGTACATACCACTTTTAGCAGAGCCTTATTTCTACAGTATGGATGTTTGACACTGTCTAAAGATCTTTGTATGGTCTTGTACTTGGTGCACAGAAATAATCTTGAAAACATTTGTCCTAGATTTTCAACATTACATGTCATTAGCCTCCTAAAGCCATATTGACAAACCTATATTTAATAAAAAATTCATTATAGGGCCAAAATATGAAACAACTGTGTTTTGTAAGGCAAGTGTTATCTTATGAAACCCTGTTGGCTTTCTGTGTAAGTGGATTTAGAATTATACTAATGCATGTAATTACAGTATAGTTCTCCAGAGCTCAGATAATACCAGTAACTTTGTCTGTACGATTATGTTACATTCTGCAAGATGGCCATTTGGATCTCCTTAAACTTTTCTTCAGCTTGGTAATGTTGTTACCTCTTCCAGAGCAGATGCTATATTTGGCGAAGAGGCCTTACTGCTTGCCAAGCTTTCTGAAAACTACCTCCAGGTGAAGCATGGGTTTCTTTGGAGCTTTCTGTAAAGCTAATATAAAGCAGTTAGCAGAGAGAAAATAGATTTTTAAATTTAAAAAAAAAGCCCAAATACCCTGGAATATAGTGGGATATTTTGTCCACATAGATTTCTTTTTTTTTTTTTTTTTTAATCCCCTGTCTATCTCATAGAATCTGTAATCATAGAATATCTCAAGTTGGAAGGGTCCCATAAGGATTGAGACCAACTCCCTGCTCCTCGCAGGGCTACCTAAAACTACACCATATGACTAAGATCATCATCCAGACACATCTTATGATTAAGAGAAAATTTGAAATGGTCATGGCCAAACCACACAAGAGCATATGCAGGAGCAGGGTGTAGGCATCCTATACATATATATATAGCATAGGTACTATAAGAAAAACACCTTTCTAAGCTTGATTGCTAGGAATTCAATACACCAACAGTGAAGCTGAGGATGCATCTTAAAGAATGCATTTAGTTGTTTTGATAACAGATTTTTCAGCCTAGTGTATATTTCTGTTTAATTAGAACAAGTTGTAGTACGTTGTTTCAAATACATAATTTTTTTTTCCACTTACAACTATGCTTTTTGAAGTATGGAAACATCTACTTTAGATAGGGGTTTTAGTCCCGATTGTTATTTTCAGAACATCTCCATGTGTACGCTTCTACTTTTTTTTTGTGGAGAAAGCCAAACTGTTTCTACTCCACCTTTTTTTTTTTTTTTTTTTTTTTTCCTTCCACTAGCAACTGTTGTGTATTGCAGTGTAGATGGTAAAATAGTGCCGAGGACTGACTTGAGAGCTGACATACCTATTGATAAGGCAGAGTACATCCTCTACAGATTTTAAGCTCAAATTTAGGTTGGCATGACTGATTTATAAGTTAAAGTGAAGGAAACATTTATGCAGAAGTGAGGTAATCACCTCTGGATTTGTTTGCAGAAAAAAAAAAAAAAGGTTTTGCAGTCTTAATTTTACTATTTACTGTGATAAAAATAAGGCAAAAATTAGACTTTTCTTGAGTAACTGAACAACTAAATACAGAAGGTGTATAAATAAGTTGTTTTCAGCAAGATGCCCAGCAATTTTCAGTGACATGGTGCTTCAGTCTTTTTTGAAAATAATTACTTTGATTTCTGGAGGAAGTTATCTAATTCATATTAATAAATTCAGCAGATGATTAATAAAACAGAAAATTGAGCATTAGTTTGATCTTAAGGCACTAGATGTGGATGCAGTTCTTTCCATAATTCTGTGCAATGACAATAAATGATAATTTTGAGCTTTTCTGTTATTTATATATTTCATGATGTTAGCAGAAAAAAATGTCATGCTTTGAAGCAAATTCATCTGAATACGTAACTACTTAGTAGTAGTAGTAGTATCACTTTTACTACTGTCATTACATATAAGTAACAACCACATGATTTATTGGATTGCTACTGAAATTAATCCCAAATCATTTAACATATTCCTTCAAGAGTAGCTCTTTATCAGTCATTTTGAGTGTTTTTTCCCTCTTCCCTGGTGTGTGTATCCGCTCTTGAGAACATAATTTCCCACGTTTGATAATTCTTCAGTTTTCATTAGTTTTTACTTACTGCAAACTTAAAGATGGAGGTTATGCTACAATATAACCATTCATCATTAATCCATTTAAAAAAAGATATAGTAAAATACTGGATTATAAATTAAAACTGTTGTACTTTTTCTAGGGAGGTACAGTTATTGGTAGTGCACGCTGCAAATCCTTTCGTACCCGGGAGGGCCGCCTTCAGGCAGCCTGTAACTTGGTTCAGAGAGGAATCACTAATCTTTGTGTGATTGGCGGAGATGGCAGCTTAACTGGTGCCAATCTGTTCCGTGAAGAATGGAGTGGACTTCTCGAAGAACTGGCACAGAAAGGTAAGTTTGTGTTTAGACCTTCTAGACTTCTAGTCCAGTCTCCAGGCAAGTTATGTACCCTAAATAAACATACACAAAACGTTTAAAAGTCAAATGTATATATTCTAGGAGAGTACACAGTTCTTCATAAAGTAATAGTTTTTCATTTCTGAACATCCTCTCTTATGTAACATAAAAGTTCAAAAAGACCAAATAGTTACTGGGCAACAGCCTATGTGGCTTTTTCCCCCCATTATGAGTCATTTTCAGGGTCTGAACACTGAACCTTCTGCTTGAAAAACCCTTTGCCCTCATATCCATAATTTCTCTCCTACAACAAGCTACATACATACTTCGTTGTTATTATATTATGATGCTTTCCTGCATATATGTCACTATTTGTTTAAGATCAAAACATTAAGTGGCTGTTGCTAAAAGTGCATCTAGCCCAGTAGGTGTCTTTGATAGCATCCAAGAGAATGTACAGGGAAGAGTAAAAGAACAGAACAACCCTAAATAATGCTGTGATGATGCTATATGTTATTCATAATACGTAAATACTGATAGGTTCCATCCATTGCTGTCTTCAGGACTTGCTGAACCAGATGCTGTTAGCAGTCCTTAATTAATTTCTCTTCCATGAATGTATTCAGTCTCCTTGAAAGTATACAGATTTTTTCTGAAAACATGATGTATCAAGGAGTTCTACAGATTCACTGAATGAAGACTGTGAAGAATCTTCTGTTTATTTTGATCCTGCTGCCTTCTAGTATCATTTGATGTCCTATAATTTTTGTGTTAGAACAAACAGTGAATAAACAATCCTACTTCCTCTCTGCATGCCACTTGAGATTTTACAGCTGTCTTGTTTTCCCTTCATCATCTCTTTTTCTAGATGGAAGACTCCTAGTTTGCTTAGTTGTTCCTTATATGTAAGTTCTATACCTTTGATCATCTTTGTTGCGCTTCTCTGAACCTTTTCCAGTTCTACCATGTCCTTTTTGAGGTGGGGAAGACCACAACTGCACCCAGTATTCAAGATGAGGGCAAACCATGGATCTACACAGTAGTATAATGATCTTTGTTTTGTTCTCTATTCTTTTCCTAATATTTTCTAATATTTTGATTTTTATTTTTTTTTTTGACTGCTATTGAGCATTGAGCTGATTTATTAATGAAAACAGCATTATTATATTATTATGCTGAAAATAGCATTATTTTGTTTTGATGTTAGGGTACATTTTTCATGTGTAATAGTTGACATTTATCTGCAATGAATTCCATCTGATACTTTACTGCTCACTGTGTCTTGCTAGTCATCTTCATTTCTTCTCCATACATTTAGAACCCAAATAATTCAGTTTGATCAGTAAATTTTGGCACCTTACTGCTTATTCCCTTTTCTAGGTTACTGCTGAGTATGTTGAACAGCACAGATCCCTGTAGAACGTCATTGATTACCTTTCTCAGATACAAGAACTTGCATTTACTACTGCCCTCTGTTTCTTATTTTTTACTCTCTGTTTCACGTTATTTATTCTATGCAAAAGCCTTCTCTCTTATCCTGTGGCTACTTAGTTTCCTCAAAATCCTTTGGCAACAGACCTTGTCAATGGCTTTTGGAAATCTAAGTAGAATATGTCAACCAGATAACCCTTATTCATGTGATTATTAAGTCACCTTTGGAACTCTAGAAAAGGTTTGTAATGCATGGTATACATTCATAGAAAACATTTTGATTCTTCTTCAGAATGCTGTATTTATCTTTATGAACATTGGTTATATTTTTCATTATGGTTTCTACTGTTTTCTCTGGTATAGACATTAAACACCCTCATATATAGTTCTTGAATCCAATATTAAAAAATTGGCATTTTATTTACTACCATCCCATCCACAGATATTAAGGTAGTTTTAAGCAATTAAGCAGCTAAGGTATTTCATCCTTGAGATCCTTTAGAACTCTTGGATGATTCAGCATTTTCACTAATGTCTTGGCAGACACAGTCTAAGACTTAGAATAGGAGCTTTTCTATTCTATTTGCTTATTAATCATGAAATCAGAGCCTTTCAGTGTTGCAGAAGATAAGTATTAAAAAGTTTAATGATAGTTTTTGATTGTCTACATATGCCTGTAATCACATCCAGTTTGCATCCTTTTACTTCTTCATTTCATGTCATACACTGAGACTACAATTTGAACGCTATTGTTTAAATCCAAACCATCATTTTTAAGGCTGGTTGCAAAACTTGATACTGTTGACTCTTTAAAATGGACTGAAAAGCTCTTGTTTCCTTCCTTACTGTAAGAAGTTCTATGCAGGATTCTTTTGTTTGGTTGTTTGATTGGCTTTTGTTTGTAGTTTTGACTAACCTTGTTACCTAAAATATCTAAACATAATTTAATGTTTGGATATGTTTAATTTAGAGCACCCAAGCAATATGTCTAAATTTATTTTTTTTTTAAATAATCTTACAGCTCTTTCTCTGGCTACTTCTTTACAGGACAGATTGATGAAGAGGCTGTTAAGAAATATGCTTACCTTAACATTGTGGGAATGGTTGGATCCATAGACAATGACTTCTGTGGCACTGATATGACCATAGGTACTGACTCAGCCTTGCACAGAATCATTGAAGTTGTGGATGCCATCATGACCACTGCTCAAAGGTGAATTGTGTATATTATATAAAACTGTAACATATACCTGTTTATGCTTCAAATCTTAAGTTTCCTATTGCCATACAATAGTGGGGGATATGTTACTTTTAAATAAAAGTTAGGTATTTGTAGCATTTCTAGAGTGGGAATAAAAGCTCTTTTTGGCTGCATCTTTCAAGTGTCTCAGTGTCTTTTTTTTCTTAGGAACTGCTTTTCCATCATTTCTGTCGTGGCAGCACTTCAGCCATCTGATTGCAGAGGCTGCATCAGCTTTAGGGGCAGACTATCGTTTTTAGTATGTTTTCAGGCTCTCCCAGACATACTCTTCTAGAGGAGATCCAGACACAGCTTGAGTAGTACAAAGTAGCATCTGTTTGTATATAAGCTTTCTCTAGGTAACATTTAAGCAATTGAATGATTTAATTTTTATTTTAATACAGCTATGTCATTACAGTTCTTAACTATGGGTCTGCATTATTTACATTCCTACTAAATGTTCACTGTTTCTCTCCTAACTGCCATTACATGTTTTAGAAGAAAGTAATAGTGAAAATGAGTTATGCATTGGAAGATATGTAATTTTAGATAAATTCTTTAAATTTGTTTTCTCATTTTTACAGCCATCAGAGGACATTTGTGCTGGAGGTTATGGGGAGACACTGTGGGTATGTATTGTCTTAAGCAGTTTGTGTCTCATACAGATATAATTATGAAAGCTAAATCAATGTGAACCATAAACGTCTAACTATTTGTTATGTTTATTAGGTATCTAGCTCTTGTTAGTGCCTTAGCCTGTGGTGCAGATTGGGTATTTATTCCTGAATACCCACCAGAAGAAGGATGGGAAGATTCAATGTGTGTTAAGCTTTCAGAGGTAATTTATTACTGTGTTTGAGATTCTGTGATGTCTTTGCAGACGTTTGAGTGATTTGAGAATGTGATCAGGACTTTCAGCAAGTCTTTACTTTTGGTGTCACAGATACCGTTATTTGGTCTTAAACAGTTCTTTTCCTCCATTCTGTGATTGTTTTTAAGAGTGATATAGTCTGCTCTAGAGATTACATAAAACTATTCCTCTATAAACAGTGTGTGTATCTTTCCTCATTAATTTGATACATTTCAATTCATCAGTGAAAAGACCTGCATGAAGATAAAACGTGTGAGAAGTCTGAAATGATCAAGTATAAGCTGCTAGGATTTGAGGAAATATTTCTTAATGGATACCAATTGTTTATGAAATTGTGCTGTAAATTTCTTTCAGTTTTTTAACTATATAGATGTGGTTTTATTTTTGTTATAGAATCGTGCACGAAAGAAAAGGCTGAATATTATTATTGTAGCTGAAGGGGCTATTGATTGCCACAACAAACCTATAACATCAGAGAAGGTTAAGGATGTAAGTGTCAACATCCCTATGATACACTTCCTGGTTTGTTCTTAAGATGGGGCTTGTTTCTACCAATAACATTTATGTAAAGTAAGTCTGTTCCTGTAAAGTAGCTTATCACACAGTTTGCTGGTTGTATTTTATATTTGTGCTTTATTATGTGAATCCATAGTCCACTTAAGGGGAAATTATTTCAGTGGCTGCTTAGAACATTTTTTCCTTGTAACATAACACAACAGCCCGAAACACCTACTTCATGGAGACCTTAATTGATAGAGTCTGAAATCAGCTCAAATCAGTAATTATAATTCTATTTTACTTGATATTTCCTGAAAAATTTTAATAATACTCTCTCTCACAGTAAAATAATATTGTCTACTTTGGACTTTTTTCTAAACTGTTGCTTTGCCAAAAAGTTGCCAAACTGTTGCTTTGTTTTTTCATCAGTGTTAAAGATGAAAAACTTTTGAGCAGAAATTATTTTGCTTTTCTTGGAAAAGATCCCTTAGGAGAAATTAAAAAAATAGTCATTGGCAGGAAGGTTCCATGACACTTTACGTGGGGTTGAAGTTTTGTTTTCCACAGCTGTCAGTGTGAGAGTGATCTTTGACTCTTGACTTCAGACTTGCAGTTTTACAAAGTAAAATTTAGCACTAAGTGATGTTAAATGTACTTACAGCAGATAGCTGTTATGCATTTATGGAAGAAACATTACTTGTTTGTTACAAATTTCAGCCAATTAAAACATTCAAAAAATATAAATATCAGGGATAGAAGATTTTGTAAATAATTTCTAAATTTTTTTTCTGCTTTGTGGTATCCATTACTTATTCCTAACCTTACATGTTCACTGAAGATGTATTAGTAAAACATGTCTTTCTGTCAGTTTAGGTTTGATATTGTAACAGAGGAAATGGAAAGAAAGTCTGACTGAATGAAATAGTGTTATTATTATAATTTTTACAGCAAGTTTTAAAAGCTTCATCAATTAAAGTTAAAAATCATCTTCACTAAAGTTTTACTCAGAGTCTTTTGGTATGTGTAATCTTGCACATTGATGAAACATGGAGCGAATAAAACACTGTAATTGAACTTCTTTCAAATATCTAATTGTGATATTTAGATCTGTTTTTATAAGGCTGAGGATTGTGCATAATGAAGCTATTTGTAACTTTTGTTAAAGCATTGCAATCTAAGCTACTGTTTGTCATTACTAAATAAAATGTTCCATTAGATTAGGAATATGTTTAGCTCTAGGTCAGGAATAGTAAAGACTGATTAAACTTTTGTACTATATTCATTACTTTTGACATACTAATGTATAGTATATGTAGAATTTTATTATTCCAGTAGCACATAAAGCAGTGTAATGCTAACACATGCATATGTGAAATAATGATGATGATAAACCCACTATATTTCAAAATTCTTTGCAGCTTGTGGTTCAGCGGCTTGGTTTTGACACCCGAGTTACTATCTTGGGTCATGTGCAAAGAGGTGGAACCCCTTCAGCTTTTGACAGAATTTTGGTGAGTGAACCTAAAATAACTACTAACGGCACCACATATTTGTTTGTTTATTTGTGGATGGGGTGGTTCTACCTGATTAACTGAACAAATCCTATTATTATCTCATATTAACTGTCTGAATACCTCAAATTCATAATAGTGAAGCGCTTACTATAAAGGAACATATATTAGGATTAAAAATCAAAGCTGCAAGAACAATTGTCCGTACTTAAGGGTATAAAACAGCCTGCAATGTTTTCACCAAGGAATAATTGGTTTCAGCTTGATTTACAGAGGAATCATGACCATTTCTGTGATTAGAAGCCTTGTGCTTTTAAGCGCTTACTTGAACACTCAAACAATATCTATTTTCAGGCAAGTCGTATGGGTGTAGAAGCTGTGCTTGCCCTTTTAGAAGCTACTCCAGCTACCCCTGCATGTGTTGTGTCCCTCTCTGGCAACCAGGCTGTCCGCCTGCCTTTGATGGAGTGTGTGCAGATGGTGAGTTTTCTGGCAAAAAGCCAATTTATAGTCATTAATTAACTACAACAGACCACTATATAATAATTGTCTGTTATTTAATGCTGATGCGAGTGTGTGCAGCACTTTCCCACATTTGAGAATAATGAACTTCATGTGTGTTCTCTATGTCTTTTTGCTTATTTGCAAACTATTGATAAACAAGAAATAGATTTTTTTTTTTAATTTGTTTTAAAATTTTATCTCAGATCTTCTGTTTTTACGGCTATAAAAAATTCTTCAGATGCTTGCATTCATTTACACATCATACACAACAGTCAGGTTTCTGCACTAAAACTATCCAGTTTTTTTTTTTTTTTTTTTTTTTGTCCTAGGGAATCTTTAGGCATCTGCTTCTACTTTGTTCTTCTGTCCACTGTAATTTATGCTATGATAAGAGGTAGTTCATGTACTAATAAAATGTCTAGTATTTTTTTCACTTTGGAAACTTATTTCTGAATCATCTATTTACTGGAATATGTTAAATAATCATCTTTCTGTGTTTTTTAAACTTACTGAGTAATCAATTTGTTTTTTCAAGACTCAAGAAGTTCAGAAAGCCATGGATGAGGGAAGATTTGTTGAGGCTGTGAAGCTTCGTGGAAGGTATAGCCAATAACTTCAGTAAATAAATCAATTTATTTACTCTAGAAAAGCTGAATTGCTTTGCTGTTCTGCTGGCACTTGACATTTTATTTTTAATAACGTAATATCTACATGTTTTTATGAGTTTGGGAATAATAAAGGGCACAGAAGAAGAGTTGCTTATAGAATAATTGAAATTTTAATATTCTTGAAAAACATGAAAAACAAAGAAAACTGTTTTTCAGTACTGTTAGACTAGTTAGTGACTGATGCTATGCCAACTGGTCACAAAGATAAGAGCTGGTGTGTTGTATGAGCTGACTGGTAGCAACCATATGTTTGTTTATTCAAAATTTTTAGGCCAATCCCATGAGCTTGTAAGGAACTGGTAGTTTTCTAAGAGTAATGTTGGAGGGAGACATTCTGCACTCTTATGTGTCAACAGAGCATTTTTTGTTTCAAGTCATTTGGTAATGAAGTGGCTAAGCTGCTATCCATCATATTTGAGAAGTTGTGGCAGTCCAGTGGAATTCCTGCTGACTGGAAAAGGGGAAGCATAATCCCCATTTTTAAAAAAGTTAAAAAAGAATGGGGAACTACAGGCCAGTCAGCGTCAGGTCTGTGCCCAGCAGATCATGGAATGGATCCTTCTGGAAGCTATGCTGGGGCACATGGAAAATAAGGAGGCGATTGATGACAGCCAACATGGCTTCACTAAGGGAAAATAGTGCATGACAAATTTGTGGCCTATGATGGGGTTACAACATTGGTGGGTAAGGGAAGACCAACTGATGTCATCTACCTGGACTTGTGCAAAGCATTTGACACTGTCCCACACGACTCCCTTGTCTCTAAATTGAAGAGACATGGATTTGATGGATGGACCACTCGGTGAATAAGGATTTAGCTGGATGGTCACACTCAAAGAGTTGCAGTCAACAGCTCGATGTCTTACTGGAAAGCAGTGATGAGTGCTGGGACTGGCCCTGTTTAACATCTTGGTTGCCAACACGGACAGTGGGACTGAGTGCACCCTCAGCAAGTTTGCTGATGACACCAAGCTGTGTGGTGTGGTCAACACACTGGAGGGAAGGGATGGGCCATCCAGAGGGACCTGGACAGGCTTGAGAGGTGGGCCTGTGTAAACCTCATGGGGTTCAACAGGCCATATGCAAGGTCCTGCACATGGGTTGGGGCAATCCCAAGCACAAATACAGGCTGGGCAATTGAGTGAGTTGAGAGCAGCCCTGCGGAGAACGACTTGGGAGTATCAATGGATGGCAAACTGACTATGAGCCAGCAATATGCACTCACAGCCCAGAAAACCAACTGTATCCTGGGCTGCACCAAGAGAAGTGTGACCAGCATGTAGAGGGAGGTGATTCTCCCCTTCTGCTCTGCTCTCATGAGACCCCACCTGGAGTACTGTGTCTAGCTCTAGGGCCCATGGTGTAACAAGGACATGGACCTGCTCAAGCAGGTCTAGAGGAGGCTGTGAAGATGATCAGGGGGCTGGAGCACCTGGCGTACGAGGACAAGCTGAGAGAGTTAGTTGTTCAGCCTGGAGAAGAGAAGGCTCCAGGGACAATTTATAGCAGCTTTCCAGTACTTAAATGGGGCCTACAGGAAAGGTAGGGAGGAATTCTTTATCAGGGAGTGTAATGATAGGATGAGGAGTAATGGTTTTAAGCTAAAAGAGGGTAGATTTAGATGAGATATAAGGAGGTTCTTCACTGTGAGTGTGGTGAGGCACTGGCACAGGTTGCCCAGAGAGGTTGTAGATGCCCCCTCCCTGGAAATGTTCAAGGCCAGGTTGGACGGGGCTTTGAGCAACCTGGGCTAGTGGAATGTGTCCCTGCCCATGGCAGGGGATTGGAACTAGATGGTCTTTCATGTTACTTAAAACCCAAACCGTTCTATGATGCTATGAGGATAAAATGCTTTACCCCTGAACTATAAGACTAACTTGCCAGCTATGTAGTTACTCTATCACTATTATCTTACAGGATTAAGTATTTTGCAGTATTCTCTCATTTCCGGTTTTTATCATGTTTTGCATTTGTAATAACTTGTGCTAACACTGCCTGTTTTTAAGGTTTCTGAAATATTCAAGTGTTTTTTTGAAAAAGTTACTGGTTTATTTATCTTATTTACTTGTCTTATTTACTTTTTTATTTAGGAGCTTTGAAAACAACCTTAACACCTACAAATTACTGTCACACAAAAAGCCAGATGCTGAGCTTCCAACGGTAAGGGGTTTTTTTGAGTGTGCAGTGCATATCTACTTTTGGGGTGTCTTAACTTTAAATAAATGTTTTTCTTCTCTTCCCCCTCATCCCACCTTAATACTCTCTTCAAACCTATGCCATAGGATATTTTATAAAATTAGTTAAATATTATTATGGTAGAAAGATACTTGCAACACAACTTTATTCTAATAATAGCTAACTTTTTTTTTTTAAGTGAAATGCCATTCTAACTAGAAAATTTCCTGCTAGGCAGTTTCTTTCTGTCTTGGATATATGTCTGGTCACAATTGCTGTAGTGTCTGGTCCTAATAGTTGCAGTTATGCCCTCTGTTCCCTAACATGGAGAGAAGGAAAAGTGATTAAGAGTCTAAAAATCTTGGGATAAAGAAGGATGATTACATGTAAAAGAATTGTAGCCCTTCCTTTTGAAGGGTAAATAAAACTTTTAAAACAGGGGTAAGTCCAGTAATTCATGGGATGAAATAGTGAAGACAGATGCATCACATTTACCTGACCTAATAGGTGACTGTGCATAATACAGCAGTGGACATTTAGTTCTTCTTTTCTTTGTAGTTTGTAAGTTGTGTGTAAGAAGAAATTTGAATTTACTAGGAAGTAGACACTAAATGTGTGTAAATAAATTTCAGACAGGATATTTTTGTTTTCATTAATGGTTTACTGAATAATTCTGGTTTTGACCAAAGTTGTTGACCTGTCACCTCACTGGTTAATTCCTTTTTTAACTGTAGTTTGTGATGATTTGATACCTTATTTGCATGATTATGTTACTGTTAATTTTTCTCTTATTTTTATTTCAATTAAATATTTGAGTAATAATTAACAGTAACTTCTCAATGTTATGGAGAAAAATTGCATTGAAAACAGGAAAGTTCATTTGAATAGCTGATATCTGTTCAGAAATTCTATGGATAGCAAGTAAAATAATCACAATTAGACTTTTTATTTGACAAAAATTACTGTAATGTCATGGAAAATTCCATACAGTAAAGGAAACAGTTACAAATGAAAAGTCACAGTAAAAGCTTTCAAGGACACTACAATTAAATAACTCTAGTCTAAATTAGTCTTTTATTTTTGCCTAAATGTAAATAACAGTAAGTACATAGAACAGAGGGGGTTTTTTGTTTGTTTGTTTTCAAAAAATAAGGACCTAAGTTTGACTTTGAAGAGGTCAAAATATTCTGGATTTTTTTGGTGGATATAGTCAACATTTACTTTGCTAGATCAGGTGTTTGTTTGGGGTTTTTTATAAACCAATGCAAATTTAGGACTGTTAGCATTGGGCTTTCCTATTTTGTTTTAAAGTAGTTTTGCTATATCTTTTTGTGATGGGTGGCATTAGAAAGAAATGTCAGCTGCTTGTAATTGTTAACTACTTGGATTTGACCACATTAGACAAATCGGTGTGCTTTAATAAAAGAGGTTGGATGGGAATTAAAAAGTAGGTGAAATGTGCATGTCACAGGAATTGAGGAAAAGACTGAGCCGATCAGATCACTACACCCTACTGAACGCTCTGCTTCAGCAGTGTTGCTGCACACAGATACTTTGCTGCTTGTGTTTCCTTTGTGTTTTTCTACAATCAGTTGATTGTGCTGAGCTAAAAAAGAAACCACATATGTTTTGGTTTTGGTCTCCTTTTTTGTCATCTTTTTTTTTTTTTTTTTTAATTAGGAGAGATTCCATGATCATTGCATAACAACTGTTCTTTTCTGTTTTGTATTTTCCCATCTTCCAGGATAAAGCTAATAACTTCTAGGTCTCCCAAGTACCAAATTGTTACGGTTGTGTCATGTCAATACTTATAAACAATTTATGGTCCTCCACCTGACCTAAAGCATGATGAATTTTAGTGTACAAGCTCAGGCTGTCAAGTTTTCTTGCGTTTTGCTTGCTATCATTTAAATTCTGTTTGCTAACTATATATAGCGGGTTAAACTTTCCCGAAGGTCAGGCATGTAAATTTTTACTCTTTACTTACATTTTGCTCTCAGTATTAATGTCAAAGCTGTAAAAAACAAAATTAATAAATTGTAGTGTCACCTTCAGTTTTTGGTAGTGGATTATATTTTAATCTGTTGTAAATCAACACTTACTGATACCAGTGAAATTTTATTGATTTATAGTAGCTAACTGTTTCTTAATCAGACAGGGGCCTGTGATTTATCTGGAAATAAGCCTTCAATTCCAAGGAATACTTCATGTACAGAAGATCTGCACTTTGTGTTTTGCAGTTAAAATGTTATCCCAAAATGCTTTCTAGCATTTTACATGCAGTAACACTCTTACTTTGTTTACCCTTACAGTGCACATTTACGAATAATTTTTCTGTTATATTTTTCTTTTTGATGCAAGTATTGAAGTCTTTTTCCTCTGAGAAGGAATCCATGATCTGAATGATATTAATTTATCAGTATAAAGTAGTAAATCCATTGAAGAAAATGTTCGTAATTTGTGGTTTAGAGTTGAGTGTGTTGTAACAAGACAGAAGTTTTTAGTAGTGTTTTGTAGGTAGATTGTGTGATTTCTGACCACTTGTGTTGTTCAGTCTGTAATGCTTACATTCATTTAGAAGTAGCTTTTTATCTATAGTACAAGTGATAATAAAACAATATAAATGGGGACTATATAGCCATAGGTATGGAATATACGTTATATATCATTCCATGTTATGTTTTAAATAAAACCTTTTTTCTTACCTTGTCTGTGGTTTAAATTACAAATGTATATTTGATATCTCAGACTTTTCAATCTAAATAGATTAACCACTTACCTGGGATACTCATTACATTTTGGGAGACACTGTATATAAGCACAGTTGCTTTGAGTCGTTAGGAAATGCTTTAAAAACTGCCATAATCTGAAAATGTACGGTATTGTGAAAGATGCTTAGTGCTCCTGTTTGCTACTACTATGGTCAATACTTTACAACCTGGCCAATACTTTAAAAGTTGTTGTCTGTTCCACTTTTTGTGGTATTGATAATATACACCTAAATGCTATCGTGCTACAATCAGTTCGTACTCTGTTCTTGGCTATTCTGAATATTTCTTCAAAAACACTATTGCTTTGATAACATGTAACTGGTTGGATAACACAGAGTATTTTATGTTTCTTGAACCTAGCTGAGCTAGAATATAAAAACCTAAGTAAATTATCCTGCAAACGGAAGGAAAAGTGGTAATGTCTTAATTAAAAACTTTTTTTAAAAAATTGTTTGTTTATGTGCGATATTCTGCACAAGGGGAAATATGTATATGTATCTTCTAGTTAACTTTTAAATTTTAGATGGTTTTAGGAGCTTTAAAATTTCATTTCCTACATTCCAATATTTAGCAACTGTGTGTGATGGACAAATTAACCATGATGTAGAAAATAATGTGCTTGTTAAATATTATTTTTCTCTTGCAGACTAATTTTAATGTGGCAGTTTTAAATGTTGGTGCCCCTGCAGCTGGAATGAATGCTGCAGTGAGAGCTGCAGTGAGAGTTGGCATAACTGAAGGCCATAAAATGTTTGCTGTCATTGATGGATTTGAAGGTTTTGCTAGAGGGAAGGTCAGTATTATGTGTGTGCAATACATAGTAGTATGTACCCCATCCCACACCACCACCTTTTTGTTTATGTTCTTAGAAGGTATGTTCTGTCATAACTGTTGTGGGAACCGATTTCATTAGTTCTTTTATTTCATAAATATATATAAAACTCAAACTGTAACTGTATTTCTCAACTATTCAAGTGTATAGATTCATTTATCTTAAGTATTGCTAATCACATGCAGCAGAGGTACAAAATTAGTTCAGATCAATCCTACCTTCATATTTGGTCAATGTTTAGCACATAGATTTCCACAGAATAACAGAATTGCTGATTCTGTACGATGAGTTGTTGCATCTGTGTTCCTTTGCTATAAGAAACTTTGCAGTGGTGCTTGTTGATGGAGGAAGCTTTGTTTTTTTTTTTTTACCTCCGGGTGAGTTGTTTTTTTCTTCCCCTATTTTAAATGTTAAGCATCAGTTGGTATACTGAGGAGGAAATGGATACAAAACTTAGGATTTCTATGCCTAGCTGGAGCCATGGGTCCCAAAACTAACTTCAGAGACAGTTTTAGATTTTTGTGTTTCATATTCAGTAGGAGAGGATGTGTTAATGGGATCATGAAATAAGGAGGCAGGGTTCATCATGGTTTGGAGGAAGAAAGAATAAATAGAATGGAAAGGAGTTGGTAAGAATTTAAGAGAAATTAAGTTAACCTCTTGATGCTGTTTTCCTTCTTTGCCAAGTTCATTTTTAGTGCTGTGCCCAACAACTTGTTCCAACAACTTTACGTTAAGTAGTACCTGGTGTTTGCTGCATGTCAAGAGAAGTAATTGGATAATTACTTAACAGAATCTCCTTTTTTACTTTTACTCAAAGATAAAGGAAATCAGCTGGGGAGATGTTGGAGGCTGGACTGGTCAAGGAGGATCAATTCTTGGTACAAAACGGTAACATCAATATTTTACCAATTGATATGATGAATTCTAGTATTTTATATAACCAGTCTATGTATGATTCCGTGCTCTTTTCCTTCCACAGAATGTTTTAAGTCCTCAATTTATTTTTTTTAAATTGTTACAGTCCAACTTGAGTATCTTTATAGTACTGTACCAGCTTTGAAGAGAGAATTAAAATGGAAGACCTGAATTTAAAAATTTTCTGAATCCTTAACACTTAAAAGGATTGCAAACCTGTAGTTTCTTTACAGCTGACATGATTCCTTATTGGTTGTCAGGAAGAATTATTTATATGGATAAATATGTAAAATGAAAAACGTTGCATTGCCTGCTCAGTTTACTGTTTCACATTAGTAATTAGCTCTTATTGCTGCAGAGTCTGTAAATTGTTTTTATTTTTCTTTTGGTTTAATAATTTTTAGTACTCTTCCTGCAAAATATTTGGAGAAGATTGCTGACCAGATGCGCACTAACAACATTAATGCCCTTATGGTTATTGGTGGATTTGAGGTACACTGAAATGTATAATTATGTCTAAATAGAGTAGAATTACTAACAAAAGGAATAGACCATTTTAATTTTCACCCAATCTTCATGTAAAGTACATTTGGTTATAACTATATTTCATATACAACACAAATAGGGTTTAGGATCAGAAGTATTGTCAATCACTGATTTCTGTGGAAAGTTGACATTCAAGACAGTGTATTAAACAAAAAATAATTAATTAATGACTTCAGTAATGCAAATTTTAGTCTATACTGTATCAATACTTAGAACATACTTTCAGAATTTCTTGACCTTTAGTAGCAACTGCATTGTGATCCCTAAGTGCATTTGAAAATCTGTGATTGATCTAGAGAAGTTGGGGGGGGGGATTTTTCCATATTTCATTTTACCAAAATTAATAAATGTTTGAAATCTTGATTAAGAAAAGTATTTTTCCAACTCTTCCCAGAGAAAAACATACTTAATTGCTTCTTCATGAGGAATGAATCATCCATTTTTTCCAACCTATTAGAAATGGTGCTAGTTCAGGAATATTAAGATTTTAAATAAGGTATAACAGTACCTGAAGATTGGGAACTAGTTTGGAGTATGTTTGTGCTGTACAAAGCACTTCGTTATATATTTCCTTGAAAATGAATATTCTATTTACTATTTGTTTTCAAATGTATACATGTTTTTAATGCTTTCTTTTTTGTGTATGTGTTAGATTTTAGTGGTTCCTTAACGCTTTGACTTGCTGAAGTGTGCTGTGGTAGAAATGGCTCCCCCTGTGGCCCTTTCCATTTTATTACTCCAACTTTGCCCATATTTATTCATCCTAATTTTTCACCCAATGCCTGTGCCCAACAGGCGTACCTCGGACTTCTGGAATTGTCAGCTGCCCGAGAGAAATATGACGAATTCTGTGTTCCAATGGTTATGGTTCCTGCAACTGTATCCAACAATGTACCGGGTTCAGATTTCAGCATTGGTGCAGATACTGCTCTGAACACTATAACTGATGTAAGTCTATTCTGGTGTGTGCGCTTACTAACAAAGCAGTTCTGGTTAAAACTGACTAAATTGGCTAGAACTGGATATTTTTATAGACCAGAATTTTGGAAATGTAATCTGGAAAATGATACAGTTACTTGATATACCCACATTAATGATACCTCTTTAAAAAGGGGAAGGTTTAGGATCCCAAATGCTTCCATTAAGTTTCCTCTGAAACTACAATGACATGTGAATTTGTAAAGTACAAAATAAGGTGGCATATATCTATTGTATATGGAAGAAAGAGACCTAAAGCTAAGACTTGATGATAGTCTGGTGCACTGTAGATTATATGTAGAGTATGAATATACTTAGCTCTAACAAACTGAGTGAATGTTGTTCTGCTCAGAATGAGATCCTTATTTATGGTACAACTTTGTTCCTCTAATAGAGAATGTAAAATCCGTATTTCTTTAATAATAAGAATTACATATATTCTACTAATAACAGATTTAACAAAAAGAGTTGAGACCTATTATAAAGGGGTTTTAAAAAAATCCAGTAATACAAGATAAATTAAAAATGGATTGATTAATACTAAACTCAGTTGGACAGAAAGCATTCTCAAACAGCATGCAAATTAAATTCAGACATGCACATTTACAGTTCATCTGAGTCACTTAAGAAGCATTAATCCATCACACTTCTACTAAAAGCAGTTCTGTTTCTATATATTCTGACATCATTTTATCTGTGAAATAATAGCAGTGATGTTACACTTCTGTCAGTATTTTTCTTTTCAGCATAATTTGTAGGCACGTACATATTGCAAATACAGTTGCAGAGTGTCCAGAGTTTAAAATATAGCAAAGACCTAATAATGCATTTGTCTTCAAAACTGAATTTACATTTTCACTTATAAAGAAGAAACAGAATTATTTCATAACTTAGTGAATTGCATATTATATTACAAGTTCCACTTTCTGATTTTTGTCTTCAGCCATGTTGGTCCCACAATGTAGGATTTTTCACTAATTGTCCATATTGAGCTACTTTTTAAAAAATGAAAAATTATGAGCATAGTGCTCATGTAAAGAGAGAATAAAATTTCAAATTGCTTTTGAAAATTGAATGTCAGTTCTTCTATCATTTAGATGTATTTGAAGATTTCAGATTGAAGATCTTCGAATTATTTTCAGAAATTTGAAGGATTCCTCAAAGGCTATCAACTTCAAAAGCGCTAACGTAGTTTTTACCTGTTTTGGTTTTCTTTACCATGCCAACATAAATACTTTTATCTTCAACAAAATAAAGCCTTCAGTTAGGTAATTTCATTTTCCTTAACTATTGCCTTGAGCAAGACCAAAAGGTAACTAAAATTTATCTTTAACATATTCTTTATGACAACTTAGGTTATAAATGTTGATGTTATTTCCAGTTCTGGTAAATAAAAATATCCCTCCAAAATGATTGATCACACATTAAGGTGAGTAAAATGATTGTGCATAACACCTACTTTTCTTCTTTTCTATTCTTCATAAGCTTTGTTAATCTAACTGACTTCTTTTTATAGGTTACTTCATGTAGAGGGGATATATCATAGTCAGCCTCTCTCTCCTTTGTTGCTGTGTTTTCCTTTATATGTAGGTTTCTAGATATCATTTGCCTTCATTAGATAAGAAAATGTCAGTATGTCCGTATTTTCAATGCAGTAGTTGAAAACTTCTCAATTATTTTTTTTTTTTTACACTAATAGCTTCCATCTTGGTTTTGCATTTTATTTTGCCCAGATTTTTCATTGAAATAAATACGAAATCTAATGGCATTTCAAGATTTAGATTCAATCCAATGGAAAAATTTTGTTCTCTTTTGGGGAAGAAGCAGACTTTTGTATTGGGGAAACATTTCTGCTTGGTATCTTTTCAGTTTTCTGCCCTGGTTGTTAGAACATGATTCACTAAAACTGATAATGAAAAACGTATCCTTTCATTCCTGTGTCATATTTTCAGTTCAGGTTCAGTAGTGATGCTGCCCCCTGTTAAATGTGGCTGACAGGCTCAATGCAAGTCATACAATTGACTGTGGTAAACAGAAGTAGCAGATGGACATGAATGTCCAGTATATCTAGTTTATAGCATTTTTATTCTTATTGCCACTATTAGGTCAATAAATTCATCACACTTGTCAGTGCTCTCAGATTAGTACCTCTTATTATGAACACCAAAATGTCATCACGCTTAGCTTTTGTTGTACTGTTCTTACTTCTGTAGTTCTTAACTTTTTGGTAAGGTAAGTACATTTCTGCTGGGTCATGAAGCCTTGATAGTGTTTGGTATTACTAGACACTTGTCAATGTTAGGTTGTTTGAAAATTGTCAAGGCATGTAAATGGTACCTTGAGACATTTGCAGATAAAATGTGTTAAGATGCTGCATTTAAAAAGAAAAACAATAAAAACCAGACCAACAGTTAAATGACTTCTGAATGGTTGGCAAGAGTGTGCTTTCCCCTAAGTCATAGATAGGCTGGTACATTTCTCAATAGTTAAAATTCAGATTGTATGACAGATTCTGTGACCCTCTTGAAATGTTCTATTTTTTTCATTATTGTTTTAAAATAAAGGCTTGTAATCAGTTGAATAATAGAATTTGGTTTGTCTTTTGAATGGTGTTTTAAATTTGTGATATGCTGTATTTTTCACTTAAGTTTTTAGGATATTAGTGAGAACAATTGTCAGTTGTTCTCTAATATATAATACCTGGGGAAAGCTGGATGTTTCTGGACCTGAAAAGGGTATGCCTAAGGCTTGTATATAGAGATATACAAAATAAATTCTTTAGGACTGCAGAATAAGAACATGAACTTTTGAGTTTTCTGTGTAAAGGAGCATCAGTAAAACAACTGCCATAATAAAAATAACTATATTCTCAACTTCATGTTGCTAATCCAGTGAAGTGAATAGAAGATTATTTCAGATAGCAGAACTCTGGAATGTGACGGCAAAGATGTGTTAGGTTTTTTTCCTATATAACAATGAAGGATAGAAATTTATTTTTTAAATGAAAGTTGGAGTACATAATATTGATCAAAAAGAGGCATTATCAACACACTTTGCAGTGAAACTAAAAAGCAGAAACCTACTCTGTGGTTAAGCAGAATGAATAAAAAGGTAGATGCTTTCAGCTACAGAACATGAAAAGATCATGAAAGGATGAAAATTTAATTTGAAAACAAAGCCTACTGATGGAAAGAGGAATAAACCAGGACAAGGTATGGAAGAACATTCATTTGGTTTAGGACATGTAGAACTAAATGGGGAAATGAAAAGAAAAAGATATCAACTAGATGTGGAGAAAAACAGAACCTGAAAAAGGAAGCAGCTAAATCTCGCTAATGTGTTTCTTTGACAATCTGCATTTTCCTTTCATCAAAGGGAAGAGAGTACAGGTTGGTCAGTTGGTTTTGTGAGAAAGAGTAGCAAACAGCCAATGAGGAGTGAAAACAGCTTCAGTTAGATTGCCTTAATACAGTCTCCATGCATTTCCCTTGGAAAAACAGAGAGTCCTATACCCTCCAAGTGGTGGTACTAGCATATGTGGCTCCACATTAATCTGAACTAGGAAACTGAAAATTAGCCTGGCCAAGCTAACTAACCAATTAAATTTTCATCTACTTGAGTCCTAGCAACAGCTGGATGTGGAGCTTGGGCGATAAATCCATCTCTTTCAATGGCCATTGGCATTTAGATCAACATAAATTCAAGAAACCACAGTCTTTGCTTGACTGCATGTATTTTTATAAAGCATCCTTGGTTGTGGCAATACCCTTTCTAATAACACAAATACAATAAAAGGATATGAAATGATTGAACCATTTTGTTGACATATTACAGTATCCCTCTATGATTTTACTGTAGTATTTATTTTTTTTTAAATAGTTGTAAAGCAATTATTAAAAGCACTGATCCCTTGTTTACCCTTTATAATTAAGTGACCCTTTATTGAAAGCAATTTTGTATTTTACTGCAGTTATGTGAAGATGTTGCATATAATCATCTAATGCTCATGCTTGGTGAAGGTACACAGTCTTTGGATATGTTTGCTAAAATCTCTTGCATCAAATAAAAGGGCAGTATTTAATGCAAGTAAAACATATCTTGACTGCATCTTAACATATCAAAAATGCAGACTAACCAATTGTGTTAGTTATTGCTCTGAATCTCCCTTCAACTTGATTTCCCAGAAGTCTCAGTATAAAAGTCTGTAGACAAACTCAGGTTTTGCAGATCTCCAGGAAGCCATGTGGTTTTACCAAACCACTGTGACTCAGTGTACAAAATTCAAGGCAGCCTGACTGAGCTCAGTTGGGCTAGGCAGTTACTGAAATTTTCTCAGTGAAATCTCATCCACTCAAAAAAATAAATCAATTTGTTGCTCTCCTGGCTATACTGCTTCTCAGAGCTACAGGTCTGAAAGTTCATTCTTTTAGGCTGTGTTTCAGACTTAAACTGGAAATGCATCCTAACACTGAGCTTAATTCAGAGTTACACGTAGACTTTGAATAGTCAGTTTGAAGTTACATACCTACTGCCATACGCCCGTCCTCTCACTGAACTAGGAGACAAAAACCTGAAGAGCAGAACTCTCATAGGTGAAATTTTTTCCATCATTTTCTCCTTCATTGGTGCTTAAATCAGTCACTGTATATATATTTGTGGAGATAGCTTGATAGCTGTCTAATTTTGATCTGCAATACTGTGCTTCTCTGGACTGATTTGAGAAATTGGAAAGATGAGACTTCTGTGAACATCAGTCCTTTCTGGGAGAAAGAGATTAAGAAAAACAACATACTATGTAATCAGGCTTTCTTGTGGAGAGTCATTACATAGGCAGTTTGAAAAATTGGCACACATCATGAGGGAAGCTGATTAGTTTAAATTAGAAAGAATTGGAATAATGTAACTAAAAAATATGTTTACTGACTTAAACCAGCTGCAAAATCTTAATATTTTAAGTATTATTTTGACATCTATTAGGAACATCTGATCCTTTTCATGTGATGATTTGTTTTGTAGTGTTTGGAGTCTTACCAAGGACCTACTTTTCAGAGAATCCTTGAACTATACTTGCAGACTTTATTAACTGGCAGTGCACATGTTCCTGGATTTTTACTGGCCCTATGTCCAGTCTATGTGCACAGAAGCAGATGTGTGATGTTGATAGAATCTTGGGAGATATAGGCAAAACTTTTTTTCCTTGTTCTTGGTGGAAATAGATGTGTGTCTTTACTTTATAGGATAACATAGTTTGGTTTTTTTTTAAACCAGCTTTCTTTAATAATTTCCTTCAAGTTGTAGGTGTTTTACTAGTTAACTTTCTAAACTCCTTAACATGTATCAAACTTTGTTCTTTAAGTGGTTTCTTGTGGAATGATTTCCAGTCTACCTTTATGCTGTCTTTTTCTGCCCAGCTGCTTCAGACCTCTGTGCTGTGCATACTTCATGTTCACTCTGTATTAACTTGCACTAATCTTCTGCATTTCTTCAAAGAGCATTATGCCAATGCAACCCCAGTGCACTGTTGTGGTATGTACAGGATATTCCCCCCCCCCCCCCCC